TATATAACTCTTATCACATTATAACGTAGCAATACAAAATGAGCGGTATATTTGCGCGCAGCTATGTTTACCGATAAGCACTATCTACAAAATTGTTTCAATATATTGTGAGACGCTATCGGTTGGCCAGCCGTCGACGAGACAACTTACCGCGCGCCGTCGCCCGTCATCGAACCTCAAGCTCGCGTCATGTCCGCTGCAACTAATGGCTATTCCGATGTCGCCGCTTCTCACTCCGTTCATTGAGATGTTATCCATTCTGCTGTCGTCGATGGCTGTGCGAGCATCATAACGAGAGCGTCCGTGAGCAACAGCAACGAATCACCACCAAACAGATACTGCGACGTCGGCACCAGCGACGACGTCGACTACACCGACGGTGCAAACAACAGTGACGATCCGGATTGCCATCGCGATTCGTGCTCGACCGTGACTTGCGCGCGAACGGTGAGTCCACCGTAGTGGCTCCTTGCACGGCTCCAGTACGATGATGTTACTAACCGGAAGCAGCGTCCGGTCCGAGTTACCGGGAGTCGGCTGCAAGAGCAGCGACGGTGGCTGTCCGGCGATGACAGAAGCGTTTGCCCGTAGTTTTAACTGGCTTATGCTCTAACCATGTGACACTGTGTGAGCGGGTCCATTTATGTGGGCCAGGCACTGTGAAAGTAGGAGCTCAATGACGCAGATCTATTGGGGAAAACCGCGTCTGCCCTCGCCACAGTCGCAGTATTATGTTATTGTAAAGTTTAACAATCGACTCCGACCCGATGATAACAACCGGTGAAGCACACGCATACGCGTGCATCACTCGAGATGTGCACTAAATACGGTATCCGAACTGGGTTAGATGCGCATTTCATAGAAGTGGGCTAGCTTACGCAAGCTGAGTCCGAATGGGTCAAGCTGGGTCGTGCCACCTGCGCAAAACAGCAGGAGAACGGCAGAAGTCGTTTGCGGCAGTTTAAGTTGCGGTGAATGAATTCATTCATCAACGATGACCATGCGACGTAATACTGGCGGTAATAATTATGATGACGATGATCAGAACAGCGTTAATTTGACTGAACATAATAATAATCCTAGTATGTATGCGTTTAGCTATGATAATGCCACGTGCTAGAACTACCCCCGCTCATGATTTAGGGGGGGTCTAAAAAATATTGAAACCAATATTGCCGCTGGCACGGAATAAGACAGGTGGGGAAAACGTCTTCAATATCTGTATAGTGGTCGATTAAATGGGTGAACCAATTACAAAACAGGTTAGACGATTCATTGATGAAGTCACTGGATCTACTTGTAAATAACATGCCAATACTTTACTAATTTATATATGACCAATTGGGTGGCCGACATATATTGATTCTGTTCCGCGAAAAACCCAATTCCGGAAAGCAATTTAGCTGTAAGCATATATATATATATATATATATATATATATATATATATATATATATATTTTTTTTTTTTGAATTTGAAGATATTTCAAATAATTTGAAGAGTTCGAAAATAATTATATATTGCTTGAAGAAAAAGCTATAACCCTTATATGCTAAATAAAAATGAGAAACTAATTTAATTCCTCACACATTCTATAAATGCAAAGTTCTAGGGTTAACAGGGCAAAAATTGTGTATGTTAACTTGGTCTATTAGCCACTCCAAACAGGATGTACTGAAGCCTTGAAGAGGTTAATTTCAAGAAAAGTTTCTTCTCTTGCTCCTTTTCCAACCGTAACTGCATAGTTGTAGATTGAGAGAACTTCCCTTTCGATAAGTTAGATGACTGCTAGCTATCAATATTGTCTCTGCACTAATACCGTTAAACATCAAATGACAACTTATCAAGCAAATTTTGTCCATCCTTTTTCTTTCCGACTTTTTCCAGTTAGCTTAAACGGAAAGCCTGCTATTTTCTTTTTTCCTACATCATAGTTACTGCAGTACCGAACTGGAGGGTAGAACTTCGAAACGATTCTGAGCTACAAAGGAGATTCACGCCTAGAAAAATTGAAGATGAACGTCGCTTAACACTAGATATATATAACTTGTACAGCGGGCGAAATAGTAAAATATACCTCTCCAACTTAAGCGTAATTGTCGCAATTCGGCAATATGCACGCGACTGGCATTATAATGAGTACATATGATTCTGTTCCAATACATTGTAAATATTTTGTCAAAAATTAAACATATGCTTGAAGGTGAAGTACCACACAGTTTGAAGATGAAGAAAATGGGCTTGAGAGTACTATCTAATAGAGTACCTTTTAGTCAGCCTGTCTTTGTCACGTGGTTGTATTCGAATTGTGACAAGTTACGGCTGAAGCCGAACAACTGCTGGAGATTATCCACAGGACTTTACTTTACAAATTCTGGGTGAGTCGAGAAGCTCTTTCAGTATCCGGCACGAGGTGACTGGTCAGCCGGGATGCTCTAGAACTTGCAGAGTTAACTGCATTACGCGGTCGCCTCATACAGCCGTGCGTATACACGATCCTGATATTACTACAGAGTCACGTTATTTAACAGCACGCCAACAAGTGGTTATATTTCTATGCAACGTATCCTCGTATATAGGCGATTAAAATGCATCGTCAAAAAGTCCGCACATTATTCCAGTTACCGGCCGCTTTAACCTGTATGGTCGTGCCTGTTCTTCACAACCTCTCACTACCCGTGCTCTGTGTTGTCTGTTACACGCGGTATCCATGGCATCCGTTACCCAACCACACTCAGTACGAGTATAGGAATACGCTCCCTGTCGAATCGCATGAAATTACCGGCAGACTCAGGACAGCTTTACTTGATAGCTTACGGGTGAGACTTCACACATGGCATCATACAATAAAGAATCGTCGATTTATGGTGAAATTTTATGAAATTTGAAATATGTCGGTTAACAAATGTTGAAATTGATTGCGCTCGCTGTGTGATATACACTATTCGAAGTCGACGCCTGAACGAGGAGATATTTAAACGTGTCTTCGCCAGTCTTTCATCGAGCTTCACTCTTTTCGTACCTCATTATATTGCTTCACATTGAAACTTTTATAGCTGATAGACTGATGAGTCATCGTTAGTGACCGCATAGACTACAGGCCAGACTGCCCGACGAAAGCTGTCAGTCAGTAAACATCATCCGTAATTAGCAGCGTAACAGTTAACTAGACATTGGTATAAGACGTGACATCTACCCAGTTTTTGATATTTCAGCTATATAGCTAAATATGAAGCAACGTATCACCATGCGTAATAAAAGTAGTCCTTTCAGAAAAAAAATTGTATAACTGGAAGTTTAGTCATCTAGAGCAGAGTCCAAATAAAGCTGAGTTTGTTAGGTTATGAGCACAGTTTTTCCCGAAATAATCTCGACTTGATACGAAGAAGCCTTAAAATAGGTGGCTTACAGCGGTCATTTGGCCACCTACAGTGCCGAACGGTTAGATATTATAACATTCAAGGCTGTATACAAAATAAAATGACAGTACACGGATTAACTGGACAATTTTTAATGAATAATAATTAACTGAAAATGAACAGTGTAAGTATATACAGAAAAAAGGTAGAAATAAATAAAAAGATGTTTCCACGACTTCGAAGAGCGCACGAAGATGTAGCGTAATATTTTCGATTTGATTTATTTAGCATTAGTACCTCTACTCACCGTTGTATCTGTAGCTCTAACTTAACAATAGGAACTTCACTCATAACTTCACAAGCTCCTCACGACGCACAAGCTTTGATAGACAATCAGCTCAATTATGTACGGCACTTACAAACTTTGAATAGAAAATGTCATGTTCTTTCGCTCGTTTGTCACTATGCGACATGTATCATTAAACAGAAGTAAGGTATATATTCATTTGTACGAGGACATCGTTTTATCCGAACCCCCATATTGTTTCCCGATGCGGCAATCACATTTTATGAAGCAAAGGGTTTGCTTGATAGCGTTCGAAAAACGCTATGTCAGGGGCCGCTCGTTGGGACGGTACCGAATTAATCTACTTTCCATAGCATTGTCATTATAACAGTAACGCGCGCGCACCCTCTTTCAAAACGGACCCAATATATCAATATTCCGAGTCATTACTTTTTAATTAATGCCGCACGATGCCTGTTTCACGAACTACGCTACAGTTCGTACCAGAAAAAGAAAGTGATCTTAACTTATTTGATTACAAAAAGTTATGTCAACTTTTGCACAGTTGATAAAAAAAAAAAGAGATGCTTAAGGTAAATGCAAAAATAGTTTTTTTTACAATATCAACTTATTTATAATAGTCTACGTTTAGCGTAAGCGTAAAGTCTGTAATTCTTTTCATCTACTAGAATTGAGACTTGCCAGAGAAAACATAACGGATATTGTATATAACTACCAACCCATGCGAAATGAATGTAAAATATATCTCGTCTAAGGTAACTAATATCTAAAACAACAGATTTTATGTGCGAGTCGAAGCATGCGTGAGTCTATACAAACCTGCAACTCACAGAGGGTTATATGCGCCTAACATAAAAAACGCAAATTGCATATGGCAGCGCAGTATCAGCTGTTCCGCCTTAATTACTATTTCTCTCATTGGCTAAATATCGGCAGGAGAAAATACTGTATAATATGCGGTCAAGTATATCTATACAGGACAATCGGTCCCTGCTAACTTAAAAGACTTCGGACACGAGCCGATCGGTCGGCATGGCTAAGAATTGAAGGTTTTCTATTTATCATCATTTATTAAGTACTGAACTCGAAAGAGAAAACATCGAACAGGTTTTAGATCATTGCATGTAGATGCGTATATATAAATGTACGATAATGGTCTAGCTGTTAACGTTCTGGAAGACCCCACAAGCAAAACTGTAACATCTGATATCTTGTGCCTTCAACACACTGGTGGGCTACTCTGTGCCATACTTTCTGTTTTGACAATAGCAATTGTAAGACATCGTCATTATAAGGCCAATTACTTCATTCAGCCTGAAAATTATCTGAGCTTGGGCGAAAGCTGAAAGTCTTCACGATCGCAATAGGCGTTATTATTAATGCACAAGGTCGATAGGTGCCGTTGCGCTTACGACGTTTCGTTGTACCGCTGGCTGAATCCTATAACCGATCTTCGTGCGTTAACAAAATGTATCTCGATTTGTACTTACAAACATAGGTATTTTAAGAGCAGCCTGGGACGTCAGACGATTTCTGCCATTTGTCACTTGCTGTGCACATTTTCTCTTAGATATAACGATATAACGTTATTGTAAATACAATCTCCTATGCAGGATGTTCATTACCTACTACAACAAATTAATGGACTGAGGGACTAGACCAACGAAGAATTCTATTAGCTCCCTTAGAGAGAACTGATGCCGTGTGTGTTCTTTTTGTTCTGAGCATTTGTACGACAGCTTTATGGCGTTATAGTCTTATATAATTATTTGGCATTTAAGTATGGACAGCTGGTTGAATATATTGTAATAAATACAGTAATGAGCAGGCACGACGCAGCTTCATAAGTAATTTTGTTGTCACAACTCTAGCGTTTTGTTAAAGAAGGTACGACGTAAACGTACTTTCGAAAGCAACGCACTCCACTTATTGGTGCATTGTCTATGGAGAAACGAGGCGCAGGCAAAAAATTCAACATCATGGATCTATCATCTCAGGTCTCCGAATACCAGCTGGTGCAATAAGTGTAGGTAGGAAATCATCGCCACAAGCAACCTAAGGCGGTCAGAAATGGAAAGATATCAGGTAAACGGTCTGCTAACTTAGGAATTGTATTAGGTTATGGGTCTTGGCCACTGAAGTGGCAATTCGAAGGAAACCCTTAGACCCCGCCTGGAACCACAATATAAACAGTTTTGTCAATATTTCATTCAAAATATAATATATAGATTCTCAGCGTGCTAAACTACGAAACTTTGTTATATATTATTAAAAATTATGAAATGCTCAACTATGGTTTTAGTATGGGATGTTTGCAGATTAGGATCGTAAGTTAGCACTTCTGAGAATGTAACAAATCTCACTGGCAAAATTATCTAGAGGTCAACTTATATCTACTAGAACATGGTCAGATAACACTGATGCTGCGCTTTGTGTCAAGCAGATCGAAAAGTAAAGGTAAACTAAACGATATATACAAATCTCGGTAATGAAATGCAACGAAATAGCAGCCATTATTTCTTCTGGGTTTCCTTTATTCGATTCAGCCGTTTGTGGACGGCTCTAGCAATTATCTTGTAAGTAATAACTCTGCTAGTAAGCTCAGCGCCAAGCTGCGGTTTACTTCGCCTGTAATCTTTAATGATATACATTTACTGAAAATTTAAACAGCTTCAAAGGATTCGAAGGAGTTACGTCTCGACGAAAGGTGATAACCTTAGGTTTACCCATTGCGGCTCACGTGCTCTATCTATAAGAGTCAATAAGCAAAGACGAAATAGATACTGTGATCTTCACTTCAACCTCAACACATTTCCTAATCATGCTGAAGTTAAGTATTATTAAAACCTTCAACGACAAATTTTGAATAAAATCACTCGTAACTGTACGGTTGATGATTTGCTGCACTGTCGAGGCCGTGGCCAAGACTATAGAAACAGAGCTTCAGTCAATGAAGAAAAAACCATATAAGTAAACGCGATATTATACAAGCCATTCGATATTCCTAGAGGCTTCTTTCGAGGGTACATAACATTAATCGATCACTTATAATAGCTTTTACAGTTTATGCTACATGTTACATCTACAGGTAGGTCTTCAGAAGGTCTATGTCAATTAACTCGTACTAAAATAACTGCGTTGCATGGTTCTATAAGCCACTATATCCGTCTGTTTTTCCAGTGGCGTCAACGTTTGACAGATGACGGCTGGCAGGGCGTTTGGGGGAAGGACACTGTTAACCAATATCTAAACAGCTTGAAATGATCATTGATCATACGGCGATCCCGACAATGGACCAGGTAATGGAAAAAAAAAACGCTGTTTCGCTATACGACAATAAACTTTTAAAATCAATATTTAATATCACATTCTATATAGCACCGAACTAAGCTTTATGAATGGTATTGAGTTATTGAACATGATCTAGTTTCGTTTCGTATCTAGTAGTCGTAGTTTTTTTTTTCCAGAAAAATAAAATCAAACACTCTGGCTTGACGACATGAATAATAATATCTATAATATATATATATATATGTAATAAGATAATTACGTACACATCATAAGTTGTGATCACTTGTATTTAAATGTACAGCTGTTAAGCCACCTTATAACTATCAGCATGGAATCTAATTCGATAATATTTGACCTAAACAATCATTGTTTGTGTTTAGTTTTTATTTAGAGGTAGCTATGAGCTTCTGACAGAACGCACTAACACGAATGAGCTCATCATTACCATTATTCCACAGCCTACGCTGACATTTAGACCGAAAAAGCTACAATCTGTTAACGCTAAAATTGTTGGCAAGCTTCGGAGGGCCGGTGAACACTATGTCATTTGCTTGCCGTTGTCTGAACTTGATTGAGCATCTATTAAACGTATGGGCCATAAACAGTCGCAAGGCTACGAAATGTTCTGGTAGTACGACTTTTTGCGTCTGTATCTTTACGCAAACAGTCAGACGCAGCAGGGAATATTCCTAAGAACCTCATGAATCCATTGACACTAAAAGTGACGCTGACGTTCAGCTCTGATCGACACGTTAACAATTGACGTCCACTGTCTCCTGTTGTATAAAAAGGTATTGGCTGTTCCAGTTTGTCCACTGCGCCTGCTGTCCTATATAGTACAGCTTAGAGTTCTTTTACGTCGCATCGCAATCCAATTGAGCCGTCAAATAGAGATTCGTTTACAATGACTCCTTTAGTCCTCCTGCTCCTTAGCCTGACAGCGCCTCTGGCGTTTGCGGTCCCTCAGTGCAAGAACCAACATGGAAAGGACGTTGAGTGGTGAGTGAATCGCGAAAACCGTTCACAGGCTGTAACTAGACAATGCGGCCGGTTGGAGCGTCTGACGTGTGGCTTTTCATTAATATTTGTATTGATCATTGCTTGTAGTGATGCAAGAGGAAAATTCTCGCGGGACACCTCTCGTAAAAAGTGCCCGTATTTTGAGTTTAAGATTTCGGGTTTGACTGTCTATGAAGCTTATTTTCAGTTCTGTGCTATTATTATTTCCATTATCATCACAAGTTATTTTTTCTGCAGGTTCATTATTTACAAGCTTCCGAAGATGAGAGAAAATGGAAGGTCAACTTTCACGCCGAACGGTGGTGAGCTTGCCTACGTCGATTCAACTATGAAGCTTTCCACTAAAGGATTTAGGCTGTTAAAGGCTTCTGCATTTGATGTATGCTTAAACATCGGTTAATCAAATAATTACTAGCCATAACAACGTATCTCGAACGTATATACTAACCTGTCAAACAGACCGAGGTAGCACCTCAAAACTAAACCCTGTTGTCTCCCCTTGGTAGGATCACGATGGTTCAGTTTGTCCAACTATTTAAATAGTTAGCTAATATATTGTAAATTCCTCTTCACCTATCTTGCTAATAGACATAAAATAAAATATATATTTTGTGATTACACCGTTTGCAGATAACAGTAAGTTACGATTTTTACCACGTTTTCTCTCTGGGTATTGTCATTTTTTCAGATGAAAGGTAACCCGTTCGCCTTGACAATAGCTGACCTTTTCCATGGCTTGAAACCTAAAAACTCGCTTTACGTCGTATACAGTGATCAGCCTCCCGACCCTTACAACGGAACCGCCAAGGGACACACAAAGGGTTTGTATCATCTTTCTTTCAGACTTTCAATGTCTATTACGGTTAGATTAGCTTTAAATGAAGATGAACAGCTACAACATTGACTCCGACGAGTGGCCACGTCCGTTTCTCTATATAGTTTGAACCGAATCTCCTACTGCTTCCATTCTATTGACCTATACGTACCATTGAAAAACAAGTCTCTGCTCCTTTTTAGGTGTGGTTCAGTTCACCAAAGATGGCGGCTACTGGCTGATGCACTCTGTGCCTCGCTTTCCTCTCAATGTTCTTTCGAAGAAATTTGAGTACCCGGAATCCGGTCGTGGTAACGGGCAGGTATTTATGTGCATCTCCCTTGACGGTGGCCAACTCCCTAAAGTTGGTAAGAGACGCGTATATAACTAAATTTGATTATGTCGCATAATGTTTAAATTGAAGAACTTGTCAGTCCGCATTGTACTGTAATATTCGTTTGAACCGTAATAAAATATATATAAATATAATGTATGAGCTGATACTGCATTTTAAACAAAAACCCAAACGAAGAATAACTCGATATTATTTCAAAGTAAACCAAATGAGGAAGTCAAGTCCTTCGAACACAATGGCTGACATCCAATAAAATATGTACCTTCAATCATTATATACTGAGGCGTCCTAGAATGTTAGGCTACTTTTCATATTGTACTAAATTGTTTATGATGCATATAGGCAGAATCATTCTTTTCATTGCTATATTTACTTTTGAAATATAGCTGCCGCTCTCATCCAACAGTACCCTTACATTTACGAGTCGGGTGCTCCCGAAAGCCTTCTTCAGGTCGAGAATGTTACCGCAGTCATAACGAAAAAGTTTGTTCGCCGCCCGAAGAAGCCAGTACTAGAGGGGACACTTGTGGGTGCTAGCGGAACGAAGTTTCGAAGTTTTGCCAAACACCAGGCTGCTAATGACGGTATACTGTTCAACAACTTATTAGAACGTAGCTACAATAAATAGTTCCTTTTATTAAGCGTTATTTGCTAAATAAATATTGTATGTACCCGTAGCAGAACGCTTAATAACTGATTCCTTTTAAACATTTTATATGAACATGCCACGTTAATATCAGCAAAATGAGCATAGTTAGGATGGTTTTGCATAAACGAACTTAAAATTTATCCAATTTTCATGAAAAAAATATTTTCCCCCGCGCTCTAATAAATATTTCGGGAGCTATATATTTAAGTTTCTGGAGCTGCCGATTATTTCCTTGACAAGCGGCGAAATTACTAGCTTGTGCACTGTTCGATATTCGTGAGGCGCCGCAAACCCTAACGTCATTACGTACCCATATACGTGGTATGCTTGCTAACAGAAATTTATTCGAAGATCATCGCACCTAAGCTTGGCGTTCACATGCTTGTCGAAACATGGCGTAATGGTATTGGGGGTAAACTCGGCCCCACCTGTCCACTAAGGGGTGTCACCGTGACCAACATGGCCAATGTCGTCATCAAGTTCGATAATGGCCAGCAAGTTGTTTTCAACACGACTGAGGATCACGCAAAATGGGCTGTCTCAAATGATGTTAAAAAGCCGTGGTTTTGCAACGGGTCTCTCAACCGTATGGTGAGTTGATACTATCAAGCTGACCGGAAAGTATACGCGTACGTGGAGAGCCCTATGGCCATTGCTTATTATATAGGTTTACTCACCGAATTTATTCATTTTATACTTATTTAATTATTTTTATATTATTTATTTTATATTACTACAATATTCAGTTAATAATTTAATCATTCGGACGGACAAAATTTCAAGCAAATGCTAGCATTTTCTGTATTCAGAAACTGTTCTGAATTTGTAACTTCCAGCTTTCCCAGTACGAGCGTGGAGGACAAGCGATTTGTATCTGGAATAAACTTGTACATCGCCTCTTTACCAACGCTGTGGAGAAATGCCAAATGTGCGACGGACGTCGCGCGGAACATAATTTCTGCAAAGAAACCGTTAACGACGGATGAAATGACGCAACAAAATGAAGTCAAACTTCAGCTGGAGCTATTTCGCATAGCATTCTAGCCATCGATGTACTGTTCTCAATAGCAGACCAGCTCAAAAAAGGTTGATTTTACTCAATAAATTCTCACAAATTTGAATTTTTTTTATAGCTGTTGAACCTTTTATCTGGAGTCATTTAGCTTACTTTATTTCTTGTCACGAGTAAAAAGGTTTACGAGGCAAGTCGCAATGAACTTGTTGGATTTCTACAAAATCTAAGCCCTGACGACAACATTCTGGAAAAATAGCCAGTAACTCGTATAGATATATTTTAGCAAATCATTTGTCAAAAACGCTTTTTTCACTCGATAGATGTGACACGAGTTTTCCAATTATGCAGTGACCGGTGCGTGAAATACTTTTTGCTATAAGGTTACCGTCACAGGTTTCCAAAATGTCCGACTTCGCAATAATCTTTTGTGCCTACGTGTACACTTAACTTCAGCAGCGCGGAAAAATATAGTATTTTATGTAAAAGAAAAATGAAAGAACGTCCCGCTAATGGTAAGACGCGACTGGAATCACGACTTTGACTCCCGTGGCGGCGAAGTAGATCCGGTGCCGGACTTATAACCAACATGTTTGATAAGCATAAGCGTAAAAAAAAGTTTTCTCCAAACTAAAGTAGAGAACTCGCTCGCAAAAATATCTAGACGTTGGAAATATAATTTTTATTAAATTCTACCCCTATTTATGTTCGAAAAAAAATCTATCAAAGTGTTAATCTAAATACGTTAGTAGGTAGATAGCTAGACTACAGGTATATGTTTTTTTCCTGGTGCCTAATTGTACATATCGTATCTATATATCTATCACAAGCCTATTGTCCCATTTTTCCATATCGTATTGTCACAGCAGTAAGCGTACACATGTGAACGGACATTCACGCATAGCAGTTGATGTATGTTCTTTCTTTTTTTTTGCGAAACAACTGATCCATCTTCTTCCGTTAGTGTTGTACGTTTCGAGCGCGCATATTTTTAAACTATTATCCTAGGATGCTAGTTATGACTGTAATTGTAAGCACGATGACTATTACAATCGATAGCGTTGTGGTATAACGATATATCGTGAGCTATGTGTCGTCGCGCATTGACTACGATACGACGGTAGCTAGACAAATATACTTTAGTATATACCCTCTCCATTTGGCGTCCTTGACCGCAAACAGCAATACTTGCGAGCAGTGAATAGCGGACACTTGACAGGCTTATAGATCTCCTTAGAGGGACTACGGCTCGATCCCCTTGACGATCCTCTAATGCTTGCAGTTAGGCCATCAGTGCAAATGGAGAATGACCGACCCGTTCTAAGCATGCGTGTCTGTATCCTATTCAACCACTGTATTCGTTCGACGTCAAGCGCGTAGTTTGAGCACAGCGGGTCTTGCAAGTGTTATTCTCAGGGCTGATGTTGCCCTGTTATTAACCTTGATACTGGTACATCCAAGCGAATCCTTAGAAGTGATTAGCTGCAAACGAACGTAGGTCTCTTTTTGCGGCAGTTCTTTGAGGCAAGTGTTCGTGAGATGATTTCCCAGAGTGACACCTGATAAAATAAACAATAGCTAAGAAGGACCTTGTCCAACGTCGCGCTTTTTATGCTCTTACGTGACTGGAGCCGAACGAGCGGGGGCTGTATCTGCCACTTCATCCGCTACTAAACCTTTAGTAATCACAGCGCGCTTTCTGAGGCAAGAAGCAAAAGATAACAGGACAGAGAGAGACCGTTAGCACGCCGCAAAACGGGGGTTTCGCCGGTCCTTTAGGACTAGCCATGACACCCCTGAGTCGTCCTGTAACGTGGACAGATGGGCCGGACAGCATTGATACGAAAGGCGGTGTGCGCACATCGACTCACCGTCGGCCCCGATGCGTAAGCACCATGCCGTCTAGAAAAAGATCGTCATTGTTGGGGATAGCTTCTGTGGTAAGACTAGTCTTCTGGCACACTTCACTCGAAACGAGTTTCGTCCTGACTACGTACCTACGGTGTTTGACACCGAGGTAGCTTCAGTACTTATCGGCGACAAAGAAGTTCGTTTGAGCCTTTGGGACACAGCCGGTCAAGAAGCGTACGAACGACTTCGGCCGCTGTCATACCCAGACACAGACGTCGTAATCATTGCATATTCGATCGCGGATCGCAACACGATGCAAAATGCTGCTGAAAAATGGTACACTGAAATTTGTCATTATCTTCCGCGTATGCCGATTCTACTAATTGGCACAAAACCCGATTTGCGGCCACCGTTCGAAGAGGTACATCCCAAAGATGACCCACTATTTGTTGGAGAGGACGAAGGCAGGAAACTCGCAAGCTACATCAAAGCGGACGAATTTGTTGAATGTGCAGCACTGGCCAACGTTGGTGTAACTGAGGTGTGTCATCAAGCGGCCCTCCTAACAGCGCAGACTTGTAGAAGGAGCCCCCCAAAAAAAAACCATGCGTTCCATAGTCTAGTGGAGCATCAATAATTTCACTAGTTTATATAGAACGCAGAAGAATATGGAAAATTCGTAGATCAGTGCGACGCGATATAGACATGCTACATGCTCTCTACGCATTACGCAAACTCTGGTGAAAGCAAAGCTGTATGCAAACGCCCTTATGATTTCTTATGAAGTGCACCGGTCTACTCTAATACGAACAAAGGCGCTAACGGTAATCGAGTGAATCGAAACGTAACGAAGTTACATGCCCATCTCAGGTTGATCGGTGCATTGTGCTCCTCATAATACCTGTACATAGATGCTACACTATTTCATATGATAAAATAATGCCTAGCTAGTTTAGGTTATTTATGAAGATCAATTTGTGATATTCTGTGTATATAAAATGAAAACGCTGATGACGTTCCTTGTTACCTGGTGTATGTTTATTATACCCACGAATCAAGATGTTTTTTTCTAATTGACAATCATATCATTATAGCTTTGTTAGTACAGTATATGAGAAGAACGCATATACACAGTCATTTTCTGTTGGAATCTAGGCATCTGTTCCATTCAATACAAAGTATTCCATTTCAACCCACCAGGAGCTACGCTGATTAAGAAGAATACTCAAAGTAAGTGGCGTTCTATAAGCCATGTTAGTGGCGTAGTAAGCAAAGTCTGCAACAACGATCAACATGTAACACGGTAAAATTGTTGTTGATATTTAAACCGAACGTAATCGAAAGCTGTCGTCAGCTTTCGAACCCGAACAAATGATGATGATGATGATGTGCTATAAGTCAAGTCGAAAAAATTCAGTAATTACTTTTAGATCGTGTGCAGTTATGTATTATCTACTGGTTCAGTAGCAGTAGTAATTTATAGCGCGTTGAGAGATATCACCCCACTGGTTACGTGGACAGCCGTTCGGCTGAACGTAAGCGCGTTTTGGTGGTTGACACGTAATGAGTCAGCCCTGTCGTCCGCCTAATTGCGTCAATGTTCCGAATCGGCCGCGTTTTGTTCGAACGATAAAGCTATCTAATGCTTCTGCCTAGATAGGCAAACGCTATAAAAGCACAAAGGCTGAGGCACATGTAGCCATTGCTGACGTGTGTTATAAGATCGCGGGAGTGCCGCCAGACATCCAGTTGAATCACTTAGTTCATCATTTTTGCGTCCTGATCCGATTGCTATCCACTATAGATACGTATTCATCATTTCCGCATGGTATTTGCTGTAAAATGAGATTTTAACAGAAGGTGAAACTTGAAACGTACAAAGCAGGTGTCGATTTTTTCAAGAAAGGCCGACAATATGGCGTAGAGGCGATGCATAGACCTATTACCCATGGCCAGACCTAGAGCACGAAAATTTGATACGGAAAAACCAATCTCTAAGGATAACTATTGGGTGGGATTGGAAATCATTGGGAATTACATTTGTTTGACATGAGCCGCTTGAAGGTCGATTTAAAGCAAGCGCGGGAAATGGCAGTAATGTAAATTTTTTAAGTAAAACATTTGTAACAAACGCATTTACTGTAGGCACACATCTTATTTGTAGCGTATTTTCCCCCACTGATGAGTGTTTGACCCCCAGATGCGGCCCGTTTACTAAGTACATCGCATACCAACCTGTCGAATTCTTTTTATCCCTTGTTTATCAGAGTTTTCAGCAAAAAAGAACTTATGACAGTTGTCCTTAAACTGATCATTGAGAGAACTTAATAACAATTATACTCAAGGAAAATAAAATAAAACTTCGGCTTTCTCACTGAAATTATTCACGGCAAATTGCCGTTCGCCGCAAGATATTATTGCTTTAATTAGTTTTTAAGCTATACCACTCGCGGCGACATCAGTCAGTACTTCGAAGATTGGGCTGCTTTCCCTACTATGTTTGTATGAGTCACAACCGCAACGTGCTCCACGCCCGCCGCAAGAGACTGCATAAAATCAGCTATGTCTCTCTTGACAATTTTATACTTTGTTGTTTATATCGTATCTCTATATCGTATTGAACTCTGACAGGCCAGCAACTTAACTGCAAAACAACGTGATAATACCGATGACGACTATGTAGAAAAGATCCTTGTCTTTGGGAAGCTTCTGGTCGAATTCCACCAGCCCGTAACATACTGTATAGTAGTAATATGATTATCACAGGATGAGTCCATCAATATTTACAAGTACAATCAACCAACTGTGTCTTACCAGAAAAAATCGGATCGGGTTACTCCGTTACCAGAATCGAATACTTGCGAGGATTATGGGGGTTGTCAAGGGCCACTTTTTTTGAAAGCGGCCTGTTAGATCTGGAACGTTTGTCCAGCATAGGTCTAGAAGTAGATGGTTTGGGCCAAAGGTGGGTCATGCATGTAGTTCGAGCATTCGTGAGAAAAGAATTCTCATTGTTGCTAATTTTTCTTCTATCACTCGTCTTCAGGGTACTTCCAAAAGCTGCAGCTATAATCGACTCACTGCTCGATCTAGTCCCATGCGGATGTTTGCGTGAGCATGCACGATTTGTTGGTTTAGATGAGAGTGTCGAATGGTCCTTGTGGTCGAGTACCTTTACTACGCTCACGTATATAAATCTAGAGAATGTCCTGTTAAATCCATATGGCCATATTAGGCTGGCTGATTTTGACACAACAAGGTGTCTATCGCAAAGCTACAACGTTCCGTGGTACTGCACATATATTGACACTAGAGATGGATATCTGAGGGCCCTCTAGAAGGAAGAATCATTCAACGCTTAACGAGCTATTCTAGGGGAAATCTGAGTCGTAGTTGAAGGGCTATAGAAACATAGCTTTCGTTTTTCTGAAGGATTCTTTAAGACTATTGTGAAAATAACCTAGGTAGTGTTATCGGTAATGACTTTCTTTAGGATGAGCTCATGATTAGTGAGACAGTTACGGACTTTACGCATCGGATACTTCGTATCCAATGCTTAAAGGTAATAATAGGGTGATAAGGCATAGATCCTTCGACAAACTAAGCTGGGCTACTTTATATGAGTAGGTATCACCGAAGCTGGATTGGATAGAGCCGTGTATTAAGAGACCCGGGCTGTTGTTTGAGGGCGGACATTCGGATCAATTTTGTCTGCGAGGGCATAAACTGTTTTAGTGCGTGCTTGTTACCTTCGTTTGCCATATTATACCGTAATGTGTTTGTGTACGCTATCATATACCCTAAATTAAGCAATATAATAAACTTAATGTTACTAAAGTGGCCTTAAGAAGCCGAAAGAATCTATTGTTTCTCTTAGAAGAATCGACTATATTCTCGACACAGTTTTCTTTAAAAAATATGGGTATTCCATGTAAAGTAAGCAAACTTCTTCTACATGCCGATTTGCGCGGCTGCTGGAAGCTTTTGTTTAAAACAATGCTTACAACCTTTTTACGTAGGTCGACCTCTCGAACCGCCCTAAACATATTTGTTTGGTTACCTATTGTTCCCGGGTTGAAGTCGTTCCACAGGTATTTAGCGGACTGGGCCGCCAATTGCAAATTCCTACCCCTTCTAAGGAGAGTTGCCGATTGTCAAAAAAAAAACCGCATACGCATGCTATTATGCGAAGTCTTACATCGCAAGACTATCTTCATATTTGTCATATTTTTCTGATTTTTTCGTGACGTTTTGCCTTTCTTAGAATTTGCTCAACTTTGTTATTCTTTAATTTGAATAACTTGAGTGGCGAATTCGGTATCGATGGATTCGTAGGATCGAAAAATATAAAGGTTTGATGCTTAACTTTTACTGGACTCAAGCTTTGGTCACTTTTATCTGGAACCCGATGCTTAAAATTGAGCATTGAATTGTCAGTCGATTATAGAAAATAGCGTTGACATGTTAGCGGCTTCTGAGACGTATAATCTAACCCTATAACTACTAATGATTACTCGAAACGAAAACGCCGTACAAATATATCTTTAAATTAAGCCGAAGATTACCACGCCGAGTTTGACGTTTCCTGCAGTTACACTGAAGAATACTAGGTACACGGGCCTACACAAGAACGCGAACGTGTTGTAGCCAATAACGTGAGCGAAGCAATCCAATATGATCGTGATGCCGATTCAGATGGCTCTTATTCAACGACACATCAATGAGACAGGCAAATAAAGCTCGGTAGAACGCCTCCCTCGTTATATCGAGGTAATTTAAGGATTTATCATGTCCACGGAAAACGTCATCTTGTTTTTTTATCTGATTGAAAAATGTTAATGGTACTTAACTCAGTGGTGCTTAATGTTAATGGAGTTAATATCAGCACGAACATTTCTTTCGGAAATCGTGACTATAGTTTAAATCCTATAGTTCGTCCGTTCCGTTAAAGGGTCTGTTTTGAGGTTTGCTGATGGTGTTAACACTTCGTCTCGCAGCATCCTACCCAGGGCTAGAATGTATAGTCACAAGTGCATAGTATCTTCTAGTCCTTCTTACTATAATAGTTAATTCATGAATGCGTTCATTAGAAGAACTACCGTGTCGCAATTTTCAGTCAATTCTTCTTGTCAGTTGATGAATGATTATCGTAATTTCATTTAAGGTCTCAACCTTCTCAGGTTTAACCCAGTGTGACGTTTTTTTGCTATTAACAGCGGCTTTTACGTGAAGGTTCACGACTGTTGACTCACGCGCTCGAATCAAATAAAAACAGAGAAAGTAGTCACAGTCCGAGGCATTTTGCACGCTGCTCAATTGGCGTCCATCGTTGTGCGCTGCTAGAATTGCAGATTTCGTAGTAGACGCATAGGGGTAGGAACAATAACAATAACATTCCGCCAAAGTGACACGAGCCGACACCTGAGCTATTTTCAGCACGTGATCTTACTATTCTGTCGTTTAGCCCAATCAATAAAATCTGGTCAGAAATCTACACTGAACCTAAAACAATAGTCGTCATTGTGGGCGTACATTTCACCACTGAGAAATACTCACAGAAAAAATGAGTACAACGACCTACACTTAACCCAGGAGCATTATGTACTTTAAAAGTAATAGAATGTTTCTCGCTTTGACTAAAAAAAATTAAATTACATTTATCAATAGATCGATATGATGCTGGCATTGATGACAACTGGATTGGCTGAGGTACGGTTTTCTTCCAAGCTGAAAAAGGCCTGTGTAGCGAAGTAGCCTATATCGGTGTTCAAAAGACAGTCATTGAGTAGAAATGACGGGGGTTATTGAAAATGACTGCTAGTCTGTGTATTAAAAATGCTATTGGGTTGGTTCCAGTTATTGTCAATGGGGCATGTTTTATCTAACGCTAATTTTATATTCAGTTCGATCAACTTTTTATCGTTTTATTGTAAATTGCCTGGCCATGGCTGATCGCCTGCCGCTCCTCGGATGA